AAATTTGACAATATTCTAAAATACCAAAAAGTGATAAGTCAGTAAGATACCAGACCTTTTACTGCATAGATGCACACTGCTGTCTAAATGTCACATGGTAAAGTATTTAAATCAAAACAAGTTTTAAACTGATGTAGACCGTAAATGAATTAAGTAGGAGATGCAGGTAGCGTGAACAGTCGTGTTTTATGTCAATTCTTCCAGTAGTTATGAAAAGTTTCCAAAATAAAATCTGCATTTGTAGCCTCCCTTAATAAGAAAACAGAAGCTTCTCTAAATGGCAGTGGAGTTAGTTCTCCCTGATGAGATTTTGGTCCCTTTATCCTCAGGAGGTTTGTGCTTTTCTGGACCTAAAAGAATAATAGAGGTGGTGGTGGTGCACACTGTCTTGCATGATGATTGGGGGGGGGGGGGGATGTGTCACGTTACTTAATAGTGATTAGACGGCTCAGAATTGTACCCCTAACCAACATAACCCTTAATGTTCCACCATATGCAATAATTGTGCTGAAATCGAAAACACAGGTCGACATTGTTCCTCATAAATGGAGGGATTTTGTTTTTTGTTTTGTTTTTTTTAACAGCTTTAATTATCACTGTAGAAATATTGCGCCTGAGGTATGTGGTGTAACTGACCAGAACACGAGTGGATGCAGGCTTTCTGTACAATCTACATATTTACTTGTCTTCAGAATATGTCTGTAAATACTGTATAATATTGCTGCTGTGTTTTTTTTTGTTTTGTTTTGTTTTTTTGATTAGTGCATAGTGTAGGTTTTTTGTTCACACGTGGGTAAGTGTGAATTTAATTTTTTTTTTTTCCCCTCCTCCTGTGTTTTGCGAAATTCTTTGACTCTGAATATGTAATCTTAACTGCAGACAGGTCTGGATTGCTTTGTGTGCTGTGTTGTCACCACCACAGTGGTTGTCATGGTAGATTTAATTGCCATTTTCCAGTGCTAGTTTCTAAAAACATTAGCACAGGCTCTTGAATCAAAATTTGCCGAGATGTCATGCTCAATTTCCAGTGAAATGACAAATTTGGTCGTGAAAACGATCCCTTAACTCGAAGAACACGTGTCACTTGCCTGTTTTGTAGCAGTCTTGTGTTGGCAGATAGTTCCATGCAGAGCTGGTATATAATCAGTGGTACATGGACCACCTTTGACAAACCCACGTAATGTTAACATCTTCCACAAAAGGACAAATTTGCATCAGGTTAACAAAACTCCCTCGTAAACCTGGATCGTCACTTTGTTTCTCCAAACTGTTCTTTGTTGACCATTATTTCAGCAAACCTTTTGTAAAGACAATAATCTCAGTATGTTTTCTTTCTTTCCACTTTCATTTTACCTGACCCCCCTCCCCCTCCGTCCTCTTTTCCATTCCCTCCCCTCGCTTCCTAAACCTTTCTCTCACACACCACCAGACTTCTCATTCTTCAGCTCGTAGCACTGCTGCGTTGCAGGAGCACACGGAGTGAAAAGTGGGTGAACCACCTCCAGACGCCAGCCGGAGAGAGTGAATTGTGAGCAATCCAAGTCTTGGTTTGACCCACTGAAGTTGAAGCCATACAGCTGATACAATACACGGGAGCCTCATATAATGACGTTGAAAATGTTCATTTGCTGCTAATCCAAATATTTAAAATGGCTTTCTGTGCAACATGATACCTGTTTAGTTTTGAAAATGATGTTCGACGATTGACAAAGTCAACATGTACTGTTTTCTGTTTGTCCAGATGCATTTACATTTTTTATTTTTATTTTTTAATAATACACCAACGGTTTGCTGTTTAAAATTTGTCATTCAGGTTTTTTTTTCTTTCACCCTATTTATTTATAGTAAGGAATAATTTGGCTTGTATTTGCTTGCTTGACAGACCCTATTGGAGTCAGTTACAGTAGAGTAATTTTGAGAGTTTGAGCCCTCATCTAAAAATGTGTCTGGGCATACAGAACATGTCCTCAAAATTCACCTACATTTAGTAACAATTTTCTTTTATTAAGTATGCAGTCTTCTTCAGGCAAAGTTTCTTTGACAAGTGCTGGTGCGTGCTTTGGTTTCTTCACATGTGATGAGCTTGATTCATAGCTGCTGGTTTGTGTAAATGTAAAAAAAAAAATTTTTACACATAGTTAAAGGGTGTACATCTGATGTCTCAAGTTTTCAGCATTGAACCGCCCAAAACGTTTTTTCTGTTTTGTTTTTTTTTAAAGTAGTAAATTCACCCCAGACAACTAACAATACACATTTTCATTTTGGATGCTTTTCCTCTGATGTTTGAGTCATGTTCTTGGTAATTTTTTTTCTCCCATGTTACTGTTTTCTTCCCATCAGTCCGTGTAATGCCTTCCTTGATATTTGACACTGGAACAACTCCCACGTCCCTCACTTCAGATGTGTTCATTTCCTGCTGTTTCCTTTTTAACTCTTCATTTGAATTTGTCTGTTCTCACTTTCTCTTACTTCCTCTCCCTGCATGCTGTCCTCTCCCATCTCCTCAAACTCTCTAATCAGCATTGTTTTCTCTTCTCATTCTTATATTTTTCCTTTTTCTGTTGAGTATGTTTGTGACCGTGTGCCACTAGTCACTCACTAGTAAGTATTTTATTGCGTCTGCAGTGCTTTAATAGTTTATGTTGCAGCTCACTAACAACTGAAGCTGAAAGTTTATCTGCAATGCTTCCCCTATCTCCATTCCTCTACAGATCTGACATGACAAACTGCCATTTTGTAAATATTATGTACATATTTTGAAAAATCAAATAAAAATGAAGTATAAAGGGCATCCAGTATTCATATATTCCTGTATTAAATTGAAAGCTTACAGGCAGACTTGATTAATAAATTTAGAGAGAAATGGATAAAACAAGAGCACAAGCATTTGAGCAGTTAAAAATAATCTGTCACAGATCTGAGGAGTCAGATTTTGTACAGAGTTTATTGTAAAATATAAATATTGAGTGAGAGGCACCTGTTACACTAAGATTAGATACGGATATGATTGAATACTTCACATTGAGAATTTTCCTTCCAAATTTATGTTTATTTCAGCCAGCACATTTGAGGTATGAGATGTAATCAAAGTGAATTAAGAAGTTGGAAAAGAAGGGTTTCATTATAGGCAGAAACATTAGGAAAAGTTTAAACTAAAGGCGAAACAAATACAGCAGTAAAAGATGTGAAACGATATGCTATTAGAAAGAAGGAAAGAACAGCAAAGGATTGAGCTTATGCAGTGAAGTATAAATGGAAAATTAAGTAAATGGGCAACTAAAATGGAGAACTAGAAAAGCAGGAACAACAGTTTTCAAGGTTGAAAGCTTTATATACATCTAAAGAGAAAAAAATCAAACTAAGATTTCTGCATAAACCACTAATAAAAGCTTTGTTATGAAATTGAGCCTGGTTGTGAAATCAAACATTTTGAAAAGCAAACCACAAAGAGCAATAGAACAACTACTGATGAAAGGGAAATGAGCAAAAGTAGAGATCAGAATTATACATTAACAGGTAAAGAGCAAAAAGTTAATTTAATAAGATAATAAAGCTAGACCTACACACTATACAGGAGCAGCAGTGTGAAGAGAAAGTTACAAGAAAGATTGCAATCAGAGAGAAAATATTAGTTTTAGAAAGTATTCGATCGGTGCAACAAAAAAAAAAAAATGAAACCAGTGAATTAATAAGTTTAGAAAGTGCAGAAAACAGAATAGTAGACAGACTAAGGCTAAAATTTCCTGTACATGTATATACATGTTTTGTATAGTGGTGCAGAGGAGGACAGAAGGAAGAAGGATTTAAAAAAAGCTATACTAGAGGGGGAAAGAAAGCGAGGTGACAGGGGAGTATGCATTGAAATGAGAAAAAAATAAGCACAAGTATGAAAAGGTAAACACAAGCAAGAAATAGAAGGAAAGAAGCTGTTTCAGTTTCTGTATTCTGCCTATGGCAATGAGCCAGACATTTGATGTGATAGGACGAAGAGTCATTCTGGCATCACAACTAAAAGGTTACTTTTACATACTAGTGAAAGCCTGGTTATATGTGCCCAACAATGTGTTACTGTATATGTGATGTATCCCTAGATTATCTTCATTGAGCCCAATTCAAGGAACACAGGTTATGGTAAAACGCTCTGCAAAAGACCAGGACATCATCTGTGTTTGTAAACAGTTTTATCATTAAAGGTGAGTAAAAAAACAACATATATCTCAAGTCTACAGCTGTCGAATTCATCTGAAGTGCACAGTTTGAGAATTTGTTAAAATAAGCTTCTTTTTTTTCATGAAATGAAGCCTGGCTATGAAATTAGAGAAATATTTTGAATAAATATACTATAAAGAGCAGAACAACTGCTGATGAAAGGGAAAGGAGCATAAGTAGAGATTATATAAATAAACTCAGCAGACAGAGAGAGAGAGAGATCCCAGCATTAACAGGTAAAGAGCAAAAAGCTAATTGAATAAGATACTAAAGCTAGACCTACATGCTACACAGGAGCAGCAGTGCGAAAATGAGAAGAGCATTGAAAAGAGAAAGTTATTTTTAAAAAGTTACGGTCGATTAGAAAGAAAATATTAAAATTAAAAAAAAGTATTTTACTGGTACAACTATACCTACTACTATTAAAGAAATCATGAAACCAGTGAATTAAGTTTAGAAAGTGCAGAAAACAGTATAGTAGACAGACGGAGGCTTAATTTCATGTACATTCTACACATATGTATGTGCACGTTGTACAGAGGACAGAAAGATAAAGGGTTTAAAAAATCAATACTAGCAGGGTAAAGAAAGTAAGGCAACGAGGCAGTATGCATTGAAATGAGTAAATAAGTAAGTAGGAAACGGTAAATGCAAGCAAAGATGAAGAATGAGCTTGTCATCACAACTAAAACTTAACTTAAATATCAAGTTAAGGCTTCTTTAGCAACAGAGCTGCATAGAAACAACAATTTGGTTGCTTGGAAATTGTTACAAATCAATTAAGGACAGAAGAGAAGAGAGAGAAAACAATTTTATTTAGAGGTAAACATCAAACACAGCAGAAAAGAGTGGAACAGAAACAAAAGACAAGGCAGTGAAGAAATTATCAATACAAGTCAAGAAGTCATTCAATAGTTCTGAGTGAAGAAGGAGAGAGAAAATACAGGAAAAGAAGAAAAAAGGCAACCTAAGAAAATGCTAGAAGATTCTGCTGATTTATTCCTCAGTTTGTGTGAGTAAAGCACAGCAAAAGACCGCTTCTTACTGCTACTACCAGCTCTGAATGTGTATAACTGTGTGAGTGTAAAATAGGGGGGTATGTAGCAGCTACGAAAAATAAATCTTCCCTAGAGAAATAACAGAACGCACTGGATAAGGCATCAAGCTCGTCAGGTGGTGAGCTACAGAGCCACAGAAACATGTTAGTAGATTTATGGATGGAAAAGTGGAAAGAAAAGAAGGCTCTGCAGAACCAAAGATACAGGAAGCGATACAGAGTTAATAATGACAGCTGTATTAAAAGCTACATGTGTGAGAGGTAGATTGTTAGAAAGGCAAAAAAACAAAATAAACAAATGATATGCCAACTATGGAGACAAACATTAGTTCTGTTTGAAATAATGATACCAGTGTCGCTGATGTCTCTCAGTCGACTGGGTAACTAAACTAAATGTTGTTGGTGCATGACCTCACACGCATATGCTCACACACGCACGCACGCACACACACACACACGCACATCAAAACATTGTACAAAATGTTCTTTTTTTTTTGTAGTTTGACCCGTGAAACTTATTACTCACAAAAAGTAATTCTCACAGTATTTTCCACCTGCTCTAGTGTGAGCCATCTACCAACATCAGCACTCTTTAAATTCAGAAAACAAAAATCCCTTAAAGGTTTTTAAGCAACTATATATTACATAACCTCGTCCAGGTACTCAGTACTCATCGGTAGAATGGGCAATAAATGGGTCCTACAGTATTTACAACTTCAGTCTGTTTAGTCTCTTGAGGAGAGGTTGTGATGAAGACAGGAGGAAAAACCAGTTCCAAATTTAAGGACCTCATAATCTGTCCTGCAGCATCCACGGATCGGCCAATCCCCAGAATTCCAGAGAGACGCCCCCCTCCCCCTCCTAAGCCAGGGCAGCTCAGTACGGGGTGAAGCGGTTATATCCTCCTCTGTACAAACTGGCCTGTTGACAGAAGCAGTGCAGCAGGTGTGACCAGGGGCTGTTGTTAACTGCACATGTAACAAGATAGCTTTCAACAGAGCGCGTGTGTGTTTTGACTCACCATTGTACCAACTCCATATGTCGTTGTTGGTCCAACCGAGTGGTGATAGGGATCTGCAGCTGTCGTATAAACCCGTCCGTATCTGTTCAACAACGTCAGAAGCAGATGTGAATGTCATCTGCAGTAGCCAAGACTTCAGACAAGCTGAGGTCACAAGTCCTATGACCCCCTGTGCAACCCCAACCTCCTAATATACCTTCTTTATTCATTAATTTAGCTGATCAATCATATTTTGTTTGTAAGTTCTCCCTTAATTATAGCTTAAAAAGTTGCCAAAACCTTCTATTTTTTATTATGCCTAAAATGGTCAAAGTGAAATTTGAATTAAGTTTTTAAAAAACTGTCATGTGTAGTTTGTGTGTAATCATAGACTGAAAGCCACTTAACAAGTCCGTAAAACCACCAAACAGAAACAATACCAAGGACATGACCTCAGTGGCTCGGACTGCTTATTTACTGTTACTATCTTTGATTGGATGTCAATTAAAAATTTAAATTTCTTTTCTACTTTTACCAACTGATTGGAGGTTAAAGTATAAATCTTAGTATGTATTTTTATACACATTTAATCTGATAATCTTTTACTACCTTTTGATGGTTTTCAGGGATCCACAAAGCATATTGTATGCAGTCACGGTAAAGATGTGTTTGTAAATATTGCAAGTGAAATGTTTGCTTGTTTGAGGAAATGACAATCCTTTAGGCACAAGCCAGTATCTTTTCTGAGAAAACAGTTTCTTTACAACAGTTCACGAAATGGTGTATACCAGTTTTATAAGTTTAAGCAACAAAGATGTGAATTAAAAAACATGTGCATTATACACAGAAATTTAATTCCACCAAATCACTTGTGAGACATCTGTGTTTGCAGGTGAAAGTGAGTTTTGAAATGTGAAACAAATATCACATTATGCTCAGTGAAAATGTGAAAGAATGTATCAGGAACCTGAAATTTGATTTATGAAGCAGATACTGATATTTGAGAGTTCAGCAAATCAGACAATAATCTTGTCAGGCTGTCTGGTGTGTAATCGAGACATATTTTGGAATTTCTGGCCGATTTGACCGAAAGACTTTCCATCCCTTGAAATAAAAGCTGATTTTCTGAAAACCAGGAACGTCTAACGTCTATGTGTGGTGTTTGTCTGCTTACCCATCACTGTAGGTTGCTGTGGCAGCAGAGGCTGATTGAGCCACTCTGTAAGCTGTAGGATAGCCACCCTGCACAGGAAAAACATGGTTATAGCTACAATTATAGCTATAGCTCTTTAAAACGTCTTCAAGGAGGAAATGTGCGAGAAGTGTGCAGAGACTCACATAAACTTCTGCTCCATACAGTCCATCCTGATATACAACCCTGAAAAACGTGAGGAAAAACAATATTAAAGTGTTTATTAGTGAATGAAATGAATGTAGACCAGGCACTGGTACATGGACACAGAGTCTCACCCGGGGTAGGCGGGCATGGCAGCAGGCGTGGCTGCAGCAGAGCGAATCGTGTTGTAGACGGTTCGGCCTCGACCACGCAACGCAGCAGAGCCCCGGTAGGCCAAGGTTGGAGTTGCTACGGGGTACGGGAAACTGGCAACTAAAGAAACAGAGAGGGAGAGAAACAACAATTGGTAGGAAAAGTAAAACCGTACAATCCTGGTGGTCTTATAACAAAAATATATCACTGTTACAGAGAAGGACTTACCTGTATAGAGTTCAGGTGCGTACATCGCCCCCATGACAGGATTGATCTTCCACCCGGAAGCTACGCACAAACCAAATGAGAGTACATTTGTCTTCCATAAACAGAAGCCTGACAGTGAAATGTGCAAAGATTAAAGAGGTGTGTCTTACTTGAAATTTCACCGTTCACAAGAGGCGTCTGGGGCTTCTTGGTGACCACTCTCGCAGTGGCGTTATTAACCTGGTGAACGATGGCAACGATGAAGGATAAAAATGCAGAATGTGAATGTGGAAACCTACAAACAGTGACAGATTCTCCCTCACCTCGATCTTTCTCCCTTCCACAATTGTCCCATTGAGCTTTTCTCTTGCCCGGTCAGCCTCGGCTGCACTCTCGAAGGTGACAAACCCGAAGCCCTGTGAGTTCACATGGCCATTTTGTTTGTTTATGTTCTGTTATTGCTCATTAAAATATTTTTCAAGTCTGATAATATTTTTGTGGTGCTCACCTTGGACCCCCTCTCATTGAAGATAATTTCGACATCAAGGATCTTGCCAAATTGCTGAAAATGGCAGCGTAGGTATTTTATGTATATATTTATAAACAGTTTAATTTAGTTTACCAATCTGGACAACAGTTGTATATATGCATTGTCATACCCCGAACATCTGGCGGAGGTCTGGGTCTCTGAAGCGGAACGGGATGTTGGAGACGTGGAGGCGTTTCGGTTGGGCCTTACCTGACCCTTCCTCATCACTCCCACTTCCTGCTCCGCCCCCTGATGCCACAGACACGCTCAAAGACTGGGGGTCAGAGGTCACAGGGGCCAAAACATCCTCCTGACAGTGAGAAAGTTTGAAAACAGGAGGTGGAGAGGAGGAAGCAAGCACGTGGATAGAAGAAGAATGGACGTGAAAGAACAAACAAAAAACAGAGAGGTGGAAAACAGAGACGGAAAAAGAACGAGTATGAATGAGATGAGAGTAGGTGTGAAGAAAAATCGGGGAGAGGGCATCAATAGAAAAGCAAAGAAAGAATGGGGGAAAAAAATCATAAAGTCAGTTCAGAAAGCAAATTAAGCAACTTCTTTCAGAGAATTCTGTTTGTGCTGAAATTCAGTTGCGTAAGCATCACATGGCATTAGGCAAAGATCATTTTCATAAAGTCAGGTGATTCAAACCAAAGAGCATTCAGCAACCAGTGATCCCTCTCAGGCAAATGTGAGGAGGCATGAAAAGGGCTCCGTTTTAGTGAGGCGTCTTTGAATACATGCCTGTCAGAGAGTATAAAGACTGAAGCACTGTACAATAACAATAAAGATTATATATCTGACACTAAATCACTTAAATAAAGATTGAGCTCCCCTGAAAAACAAGAAAGACTTCTACTTATGCCAACTTGCCTTTAAATTTAACTAATTAAAATTGCCCCATGCAGAAAAATTCAAAGAATAATGTGCCAAAACCAAAACATTCACTATCCCACAATGCACCACGATGCTAGTGTGTGCACCTGTGTGTGCGTGTTGGTCAACTAGCATCATCAACCATTGCAAAAAAAAGAAAAAAAAAGAAATTTAAAATATATACTTTTAAGACAAATGAATGAGTCCAAACAAGAAAGTGAGAGTGAAAAGGTCTGCAAGAAAGAAAAAAAATATGCTTCAGCAGTGAGAGCAAGAGAAAGAGCAGAGTGCATTGGACAGAAAAAGAAACTTTAAAAAGCAAAAGAAAAAATACTGAAAAAGTTTACATATGTGAAAAAATTGCAGTCCTTTATGCAGAAGTGACTTGAGTATTAGCTTTCTAGTACCAAGAGGCAGATAGTGGAAAAGGCCTCAGTGCAGCAGTGAAGAGTAAAATTAAACCAAAGTAAACAAGGCAAAGAAGGTGCGCAAAAAGTTTGAAAAGGAAGAGGGGGATGGGGGGTGGGAGTCAAAGGGGGCAGAGTTTAAAACTGAAACGTTCCACAAGGGTCAGTCTGGGGTCACGGTGCTGCTTTTCTGCCAAGGGTTAAAGGTCATTTGTCAAGGGAACAATTAATAAGTTGTGGATAGACAGAAAAAAGTCACATTCACACACGGGAGTGTTTTACACACATAAATGCACACAGGATTACACTACGCTGGCTTGCCATTGCTAGCTACTGTAGACAGCAGACTATCACATCCACCCATACACACACCACAGACAGGCTACAGTGGAGGGGAGTGGGAGACAGGGAGAGAGGGTTCAGTTGGGTGGTGGTGTCATGTCACGATGCAGAACTGTGTTTCTGGACCTGAGCGATATTTCAGAAGGGGGAAAAGGGGTCATCTGGTCAGCCTCCCCCTTTTGACCCCCTCCCTCCATGGCGACGTCTCAACTTTCCCCACGAAAATCAGCACGGACCCAAGTATGTCAGGGGCTCTAGTAATAAAATATATAGATGGGGGCCACAAAACACCATTTATGAGAGGAGGAAGAGAGATGTGCTGCAGCAGGACACAGAGCTGACCTGCCTCACAGATCAGACTAAAAACACCTCTGTCCTTATCAAAGAGGATGTTTTCATGCCTGAAGGAGATTTGATTAGTGTGTGTCTTATCTTTACTGCACTGCAAAGAGTAGAAACATTAACTTCTGTCTACACAGAGCCATAAAAACCTTATTATCTTCATAAAAGCCCAAATCTGCCAATATTTCAACCTGTTTCCAAATGATGAAGGATTTTCCAGGAATTGCTAACAGCTCTGTGAGGTACTTAGCACAGTGGTGCTTTATGAGCTAAACGTGTCGTCAGCATGCTAACATGCACACAATGACAATGCTAACATGCTGATGATTAGCAAGTATAATGTGTACCATGTTCACAATGTTAACACTAGCACACTAACACGGTGAAACTGAGTTTATCGTGTTAGCATGCTAACATTTGCTAATTAGCACTAAACAGAAAGTACAGTAGAGACTGACGGGAATGCAGGCATTTGGTCATAAACTGAAGTGTTTGCTGACCTGGAATTTCGACCTGATGAGTGTGCTAGGGGAAAAGTCAGAGGATTACCAAAGTCATTAGGATTTAACCCTCTAGAGACATTCATTTTTATATTGATATTTCACTCAAAACCAAAAATGTGAACCTCTCCTGAGGACCATGAATATCTCTACAAACTTTCATTGCAATTCATGGAATTAGTCGGACCAACAAGCAGACCAACATTCCCTAAAGGGATAAAGGGATTATTTATTGGAACATGTGGATTTTTATTGGAAACAGGTTGAAATAACTGTACTGCATGGGGCAGATGTCTTCACTTAATTTAAGAAAATAAGACTTTAAGGACACAGTTACAGACAAAATGGCATTAAAAGAAGATTTTTTAATTTCCATAACAAAAAACAAACATTCTTGAATTTACATACAACTGATTTCTATTATATTTCAATTTACTTTTTCACTTAAGCAAGAAGTCACAAGTAAATCCTTTTCTATACCCTCTATCAGAAATCATTTCGATTCCTGGATTGGATGAGCCACAGAAACAGAACATACAAAGTGTATGTTGTACATCCTCTATGCACTTAACTGTCTTAAACTGTCTTAAACCTAAACTGTCAGTATCAATACAAGATTTCACAGCTACAATCGTAAAAGGTGACCTGCTTTATAGTCAGATAAATAAGACACAGGGGATAAGAAGTGGGGATTTATTTTCAACAACAAATTCCCACTCAGCTGTCCCTCTCCCCACCTACGGTGAGCGGCATTCCCGTACATGGACACAACAGTGGAAGTGGAGCTCTAAATATAGAGGGAAACTCTATCTGGCCATATTCCTCTGATAGGACATATGGATGTACTACCTGAAGCAGCAGGGCTTCTTGACACATTAACGTACTGCAGATCATATTTTATTGGGGCATGAACTTCTTGCCATGATGTGCATTCCTTTCGCAAACTGTTCTTACCGTGTTACTGGATGTCAGAGCCTCGGCCCCATCGAGCTGAGGGCCCTGATAGACTCTGAGTTGTGGATGTTCGGCGTACTCTGAGCCACCGTGTGCAGAGCTAAAATCAAGAGGTGGCAGTCTGCCCGCAGATGTTGGCGGACCTTGACCTGGTGGGGGGTAGGAGGGAGGAGGGGCGTAGACCTGAGGCAGGGTGGGGTCGCCACTGCCGGGGCCAGCCTCCTGCGTGGGGCCGCCCTGAGGAAAAGAGAGAGGGAAGGAGGAATTAGCCACAGACAAGATATCAGATGTCAGAGGTGTAAAGAGGTGTGAAAGTATTTACCATGTTGTTACTTTTTGAGCTCTTCTGCTTTCACAACACTGAATTGTTATGGGTCTTTCCAAAGTGAAAGAAACAACATGTATAACATGCCACAGACTGACAGCACCATATCAGTGTCAGAAACAGAGGTTGTAACTTTATTACGCAAACTCAATTCATACAAGGTTGCCGGGCCAGAGGGCCTTGTAGGGATGGCTTAGCTGTTCAAATTGGTGCTGTGTTTGACAGACTATTCCAGCTGCTCCTCGACCCTAGCTCAGTCCCAGTTACTTAGAAAACATCTACGATCATCCCTGTTGCAAAGAACTCTCACCCCCCATTCTTAGTAAATGCGTGGAAAAGGTTATATGCAAACAGCTCACAGCCTCACTGAGCGACTAAAGAGGATGCAAGCCTGACAATGCTTAATGCTGTATCACAACATCTAGATAAGGCTGGGGCATTTGCACAAGTTTGAAACATGGACTTTTTGTCAGCTTTTAATACAGCCCACCCAAATACACTTATTGTCTTTAATCTGCAACCTCACATGTGCAATAACAACTGCCTTACTTTAGTACACAGATGATATGGCTCTGGTAGCCCGCCTGACTAATGCTCAGTCTCTGAACACGTATGTGGACTATGTTGCAGAACTGACTAAGTAGTTAAATAGTAGCCATCTTAAACTCAGCGTTAATAAGACCATCATGCCCCACCCACTGTCCAAGCCACTGTGGATTAATGAGTACCCAGTTTCAAATATCATAGCACTGTAGTAGAGCAGACCCTCTCTTGCCGTCAGGGCAGAAGTTCAAAGTTCCCTGTGCGCGGAAGTGACGTTTTAAAGAAATCCTGGTTATTCCCATCGCCATTGTGCAGCTTAACAACAGCTGAGGAGGAACACGGACGTAATGGGCTGAGCCAGCATATAGTACTCTATATTTAAATTTTATTAATTATTAAGTCATTTTAATAAATACAATGTTTAACTCCTACTTCTAGTAGATAGTACATAATTTTACTATATGCAATTTTACCACATCTATTGTGTTGTCTATTTATGTGCACTTGTATGTTATGTATTGTTATGCTGCTCTCTTTGTATGCCATGTGTCAGTGAAAGACAAATATCCATTATTGCTTGCCTTAAGTAATCTACATAACTTAATGTACATTTACTAAAATGCTACGCTTGAGTACAATTTTGAGGTACATGCCCATACTTTACTTGAGTATTTTCATTTTCTACTAGGCCTAATTTATACTTCTTCTCCACTACAGTTTAGAGGGACACAATTTAGTTTTCACTCCACTACATTTGGCAACTTCAGTTACTCTGCAGATTTAGATTAATTTTACAAAATATAATAGACAAATATATAAACAGATAGCAGTATATAAAGTAATTAAAATTTGCTCCACCTTTACCAGCTGCAACATTAAAGTGATGAACACTGCATTTTGTGTTCATCACTTTAATGTTGCAGCTGGTAAAGGTGGAGCGAATTTTAATTACTTTATATACTGCTATCTATTTATATATTGCTTTACTTAAGTAAAATTTTGAATTAATGACTTTTACTTGTAACAGAGTATTTCTACATTGTGGTAGTAAATGCCAAATAATGCTATGTTTTAAAACTAACTTTTTTTGGTATTAGACAGTCAGACTAAAGAACCCCATCTCTGGGAAATGTAACAGGTGTTTTTTTTAAACTATTTCCAGACATTTTATCAACTAAATCAAGAAAAGTTAATTGAAAACATAATAGATAGAAATATAGATAGAAATAAGTGTTAGTTTGTTTTGAGTGACTGAAAACCATGACTTAGACACATTAAAAGTCTGGATCCTTGCAGCCTCTTTTAATCCAAATCACCATAACAAACAAATATAATGTTATAATGTTAGCACGCATAAAGACAGGCCTGAACTGCACAGAAACAGAGATGAACAATCATCCTATACAGTCTTGATACAAGTGAATAATCCAGTTGGGAGCTAAAAGCATTGTCTTACCCCTTTACTCCATTCCTCGAGCTCTGCTGCATTGTCCAACAACTGCAGCATGTTTTAATGCCACCTCACCGCCCGCCTCCCGCACCATAAGTTCTACTCATTGACCAATCACATCAAATGATTGCCAGAGCAAAAGGACCAGGAGGCCACACCAGCTGTGATCATCTGTAACTGTCAATCACCCCCCCCCCCCCACCCCCCCACCCCACATACACACTCACACACTCACACACACTGCCTTGACTTTACACACTCGTGAACACACACACTCCAGCCCAGACTGCAGACAGAGCTCATAAATAGATGAGGTATTTATGAATGTAAATGCTTCTACAGTTGCAAGACAGTACATGATGCTAAAGGTCGACTCTAAGAATAGGCCAACGTGGTTTTATTACTTTTAGAGGGTAATTTTCTTAAAACAAAATATGCCAACCTACGTCTATTTATGCTATGTGGGCTTTGCTTGGTTGCCTTTCAAATATCTCAGTTCTTTTACCTTTAAATTTATTTCATCTTCATATTCTGAGGGACATCTGCTAGATAACCAGTATACATATTTAAGAATGATAAACAGTGCTTTGTTGGCAGGAAAGGGTGGAACTATTATACAGATAATCACATCATAAAAGACATGGTAAGTACATTTACTCTAGTGCTGTATTCAAGCACAAATCGGAATTACTAGTACTTTATTAATTTCTAATCTTACTATTTACAAAAAATAGCCTCTTAATGAGATAAATAAATTATTTAATAGATAATGATCTTTAAAAAAAGTGTTAGCACGTGGATTTTGTTACAGTCACAGCCAGGCTACAATTTCCCCGTTTCCAGTCTTTATGCTAAGATAAGCTAACTGGCTGCAGCTTCATAATAAACAGACAGATGTGAAAGTCGAATCAATGTTTTCATCTTGTCGGCATATTTCCTAAAATTCAAAATTCAGGATCAAACGATTCCTTTAATTGAGCTTGCTTCCATACCAGCACTAATATTTTAACTTAATCAAAGGATTACAGGTTCTTCCGTCTCCTGTATCCTAACGGAGTGTTAAACTTATGTCTTGCTTTGCAAGCGAAATGCCTCGTGTTTGTCAGCCAGCTTTAGGATTTGAAAGGATCTCATATAATTAAAAACAATCTCCACTGTCATTTCAAAACCTCTCAGATATCCCTCTATCAGCTGCTGCACTGAAGAGGTGTGAAAAATGAGAGACATGTCGATGCAGATAAAGAGGGAATTGGAGAAAGCACGGTTGAAGAAACATTGATTGTAGGTCAAACACATGAGCCAAGATCTCAAACTGCATGAGCTAAAGTTTCTAGCTGGCAGCATTAAAGTACATCAGACACCTATTTTGTTTTCTTTTGTGAATATCAGTTTTTACCATCAAACTGAGTATTAATAGTGCCACGCTGAACAGATAACTGAAATTTATCATTCCTCATTCTGTCAATGTGTAAATTATTGGTTCTCACACAGACAGGGTTTATAATCCACCAGCATCGGTAATGCACCCAACTAGTGCGTTTTGAGAACTTTGTACGTTTGTAGAACAAGCACTGAAAATGGAAGAAAGCAATGACAATGATTAAACTGCAGCTATGGATTTATAATATTTGATACAAATGTTTCTGTCTAACTGAATGTTTTTGTTTTGTCATGTAATGTACAGTATGTAAACAAAACCAAGAGCCTATAGCATTGCCAATGGCTCTGAGGCTAAATGCACCTGCATGGCTAAATGACAATGTTGAAATGTTGATGTTAAGTGGGTATTTCAGCTTCCCATGTTCACCATCTTGTTTTCATGTGCTAGCATTTGGTCATGAAAACCAAAGTATTGAAATTAAAACGCTGACCTGATTATGGCGCTAGATGAAAAGTCAGTACATCGCCAAAGTTATTTCATCTTGAGTGGACATGAACAAGTGTACCAGATGTTGATGCCAATCCATCCAGTATGTGATGGAACTTGGAAATCTAGAGGAAAAGTCGGGGGATCACTTAAGTCAGTAGTATTCATCCTCTGGAAACCATGGATGTTTGAACAAAATTTCACAGCAATCCATCCAATATTTGTTGAGATATTTAGGTAAGTCTGGACCAAAGTGGTGTACCAACCGACTACATGGCATTGCCGCCCCTTTAACCACGACGCTAGCATGGCTACAAAGTGTTTACGTTGTTATGCAAGATATACAGGAAATGTAATGAATTTAAATGGAAACATTTTCGTAGATGGGCCTACAGTACTATCAAGTTTGTTGTTGTCCGTCCTCATTCTGGAAAGTACAGTGTAATGAGGAGTTCTCCGAGGCTGTGACTCTTCATCACCCCGCAGTGCAGTCATTCATAGCAGCGTTAGCTATAATATCATGCTGGAACATGTTTCCAAAGATGTCAGCGCTAACTTGTGCCTGTATTGTTATCTCAAAAAAACAACCAATGTGTCTTCCTTCACCCACCACACAGATAAAAAAGTGACAGATGATTGAAGATAACGCAATCTGTTAAGATATCACTACTAGTCGTCTTCTCTTGCTTTGTATTCCCACAGAGTGGAACTACCAGCCACCGTGCCTGATTCAGTATCACAGTGTCAGCAGGCGTACAGACACTTAGTCCCCCCCCCCCTCCTTGCAGGCTTTTTTTAAAAATTTCCATTTGTTCCATCTTTTTCTCGTCTCCCTCCTCAGCTGTCAGCTTGTGTTCAGAGGTCAACGGCTCTGAGCCAGGTGTCTGCTGGGACAGCTGCCAAAGGATTTACACACAGATGACACTTGTGCAGATGTGGCCTTTTAGTACTGGCCAAGTTACAAATGTTAGCAAACATGTATTAAATTAAACAAAATATTCCCTTTTCCACTACCCGTTCTCTGAATCCTGTTTTTTCTCATATTCAGGTTCCTTTACAAATATCTTAAAAATATGTTTTTGGCTTTTATTAGTAGCTGATGATGAAGAGAAACAGTAAAGATGGGAGACACAGAAGGCAAAGACAGACATGTGACAAAGGTCCCTGACTTGATTTCAAACATGCACAGATGCTTTGCTTAAATCATACCGACATTTCTGGGGGAAACTACTTGAGCATTGCTCAGTCCTTGGAAATATAACATTTTAAAGTAGTAAAAACTTGTGCCAACACCTTTCAGAGAAATATAACATTCCTCAGGCCTTGAAATTCTTCTTTTGGTCTCTGCCACCTCCAAATGGCTCTCTACACCAGTTGTTTCAAAGTACTCATCTAAATTTTCTTAAATAAAACAAAAGTGAATATTGTGCTCGAACAGCTAAAACAGTCAATATCTAAATGCACAACAGGCAGGTTTCACACCTATTCTAAGCTCAGTTGGCGGCAGAAAACAAGATAGGTGACAGAATCTCCTCCAGTGATTATCTGCTCAGGAGAGGAGGGCTAAAAATACAGCTGGTGTGAAGTGCAGAGACAAGGTGGAGAGACACCAGATGCATTGTGGCATTAATGGTATGTCAGGGACACTTAAAGTCTATTGGCCTGCAGCCTGCCATCACTGAGACCAGTGGACTAAAGATAACCCCAAATGTGTCCTTACTATTAAATAAATAATATCTTTTGCAATCAGAGTACTTCACCCAGCTACAAGGCTTCTTTGATTGGGCATTCACTATTAAGCAATACATCACTAACCTAAATTAGATTATAAAATGCATCTCATTAAATCAAGGAAATAAAAGTCCCTTGGTTTCTGGGGAATTATATTTTTTCTTCCTCTCCAAGAACATGTTTTTCTGACGGTTTATTGTCTACACTGGCATTCATTTCTAAACTTAAAATAAAAACTCATTTAGAGCTGAAATAATTAGTTGAAATGATTGTTTCAGTTATTTTTTAAGCAAATATGTTAAAAAATCCACTGGTCTCAGCTTCTGAAATGTCACTATTCGCCAAGTTCATAAATCCTTTAATCCTCTATGATAGAAAAATACTTAGTTTGGGTCAGATAAAACAAGACATTTTAATAAGTCAATTGAGTGATGGCCATTTTATCTCCCAACAGAAACACTGAGAAGATAATCCGTGAGATTAATCTGCAGTGAAAATAATTGTTAGTTATAGCCCTAAACTCCTTCAACTGTGGATCCAATTTTTATTATTTTGACACATCCATTCTCTTATTATCTACCCCTGAATCCTGCGTCACCTTAAATAACGACTCAAAAGCTCCCAGTTGCCTGACAGGCTGCACATTTGATGACGCCGGCTTTTGAAGACAAACATTTCTGTGCAGTAACTGAGGAGTTCACAGAGCAAATTAAGGAGAGTTTACCTGAACTATGCTGGGATAGCATGTGGTTGTCTGTGGGTAGACAGGGAGTCCATAAGGCTGGAGAATCACAGTGGGTGAGGAGAGCATAGCCCAAAACCACGCACAAGGAGACAGGGATTGGTGGAAGATGGGAGGAAAAGGAGAGCAGGGGAAAAGGAAGGGTTGATATGGACGCAGGTGAGCAGGCAATCAGGCTGGGGGGAAAAAGAAGAAAAAATCTCAACAGGAGAAAACAGAAAATCCAAGAGGGCAAGGGAAGAGAAGGTTAAGAGTCTATTTAACCTCGCAGATGAGTCAAAGAAGAAAACACAAAGAAAGTCCACAAAACAACTGACGCCTTGTCCAGAAAAGACAGGATATAGAGCAGTGAAAGAGAAAGCCAGTGAGCTTCTGTGTCCATCAGTTGATCATGCAGCTTGACAGACAGAAACACATGCTCAGGGTCCCATTTCATAGTTATATAAATAGTCACCCATGTCCTTCTCTCTGAGTTTACCACCTCACCACCCCTCACTCTTACATACTTAATCATGCAAGATTTCTCACTACTTGTTACACACTTGTACAATAACAGCCAGTTCAACAGGGTTTTAATAATTGAAAGCAGGCCATTTGACTCCTCATGTACGTTACGTTAGTTAGCCTAAAGTTATATGCTCCGCCATTTAGAATAACAGTTTAAAGTATGTTATAATTTCCAGGTATTATTTAATATTGAATATACACACATATCTACAGGCAAGTATAAACACACACACACACACACACACACACGCACGCACGCACGTTTGACGCTAGTACCTTCAGTGTATTCAGCTGTTTTCTGTTTGACCAACAGAGTGCGACAAGACCATTATTCCCACTTCCGTTCGGGCGCACAGTGGCATTATGGGATATGTAGTGCATGCTTCGACAGTATAAGTGAATGGGAAGTTCCTTTCTCGTCCTCTTTACTGCGCGAGCCTGAGCGAGACAGGTACGGTTCGTAGCCTCATGCTACATCATGACACAAACAGACAGCTTTTAAGCCTTTTTGATGCACATACGTTCATAGGTAGAGAAAGGAAACTTAGTTTATGTGCTAATATTGCTTTTAAATACCCACCGTATCACTTGCTTTGGAGTGAAAAGCTGATTCGGCTAAGCTAACGCTAACTGGTAACCTGTTACAACGTGGTGCGGTGCAGCTGCGGCCTAGTCATATGGCTGAGAAGTCACCGGTTTCTGACGCACGTTTAACGTTACAGGATATATTATAGTTACAGTCGTATTTAATCAGTATTATTAGTATATCAGTATTTTCTAGCATAACACTTTCGTAAATTGATTTTTTTTTCCACACATCGCCGTTTCTCTTAATATTCAGTACAACTGTTTCAGATGGGAGGTTTAACGGCAACTCTACCAGAAATGTAATTTGCATTCCTGTGATATCGTGTATTCAAATCCATTGTGCATTTGTACGAGTTTGTAAGATGGAAGAAGTTGAGAAACTGGAATGCTTGCAGAATTAGTTACATATCCAGATAAGAACATTTGTTGACCAGTGCGTGTATATACTCTAGTCTTGTAAAATTAATCTGGCTGCAATTTCAAGCTGACCTCTGATCCAGTTTAAGTCTATTTAAAGGATGTCTGTTTTTGATTGGAGAGCTTGGATTGTGGTGTGTGTGGTTTGCTGTAACTCTATCAGTATTGGTGTAATGGCTGTTCTTTAAAGCTTGCTATGAATATTTATCAGTTTATATTACAATAATTAACTCTAATTTACATACACTGACTAACCTCATGTCTGATGTCATGATGATGCAGGCACTTCTAAGCCGCCATGCCCGTTGCCAGGAGTTGGGTTTGTCGCAAGACATATGTAACCCCGCGTCGTCCCTTCGAGAAGTCCCGTCTCGACCAGGAGTTGAAACTCATTGGTATGCTGTGATTTTATGATCAAGTATGCAATAAATGAGTCTACTTTTAAAACTGTATTACGTTATACCCTCTGTTACCCTCCTTGGTCTAGACAGCAATGAACTTAACTGTCTTACTACTTTTTAAGGTGAGTATGGCCTGAGGAACAAGCGTGAGGTGTGGAGGGTGAAGTTCACCCTGGCCAAGATTCGCAAAGCTGCCAGAGAGCTGCTCACACTCGACGAGAAGGACCCCAAGCGTCTGTTTGAAGGTATACAAAATTTAAAATGCAGGTGTCAGTGTATTGGCCGATGATTAAATTATCAACTTGTCAGACTTTTCTCTGGTGTCACGAATTCCTCGTCAATGAGGCCAATGTTACTCTACTCAAATTGCCATATGCTGTATGTGCTGGTATGTTTGGAATTGCAAATGACACCTGTCTGGTTTTCCAGGTAATGCTTTGCTCAGACGTCTGGTGAGAATTGGTGTGCTGGACGAGGGTAAGATGAAGCTGGATTACATTCTGGGTCTGAAGGTTGAAGACTTCTTGGAGAGGAGGCTGCAGACGCAGGTCTTCAAGCTCGGACTCGCCAAGAGCATCCACCATGCCCGTGTCCTTATCCGCCAGAGGCACATTCGGTAAGCTCAAACACTCCTGAGGAACAAACCCCAAAAAGGGTCACAAGTCTTCTGAGGGACTCATCAGACTCTCTTAATGCTTCCCCTTCCATCAGAAGACCATCAACTTGTAACTCTCTCGGCTGAGATCAGTTAAACATTTCAGCAAGGTCACTTCGGTATCAAAACCGTATACCTTGTCAGTAGACATTGCCCAGAGCCAATCCTGCCGCAGAGGGCTTGGACTGTGCCATTGAGGTGTTATGCTGTCAGGTAAGGTTACGGGATTGCACCTCGGGCAATTGAAGTGTTCAACACTTAATGTGTTGTCTCAAATACTAAGGCTGATGATTTTAAGATTCATGTACTCAGATTTTCTGTGGTGTCACGAATTCCTCGTCAATGAAGCCTGCAGTAAATTTATATCATTAGCCCTTCTCCCAAGCTTACGATTAATACAGTTGGATAAAATATTTTGGCACTATAATCCAGTTACATTTATCGCTTTTAACAATTTAAAGCAAAGTATAAAATGGACTATTTGGTTTTCAAATCCCCACTATTTGTCTTGGCAGTGTGCGCAAGCAGGTGGTGAACATCCCCTCCTTTGTGGTTCGCCTGGACAGCCAGAAGCACATTGACTTCTCCCTGAGGTCTCCATATGGTGGTGGACGCCCTGGCCGTGTCAAGAGAAAGAATGCCAAGAAGGGCCAGGGTGGCGCTGGAGGAGCTGACGACGAGGAGGAGGATTAAGAAGGATGTCGTCCAGGGAGTGTGTTGTGATACTTCCTGTTCTGTCAGATTTCAATAAATGTTTGGTCTAACCAGAGAAACTGAGTATGTTTTTGTCCTTACAATATTTGCTCTTGTGAATTCTATACGGTTACAAGTTGTACTGGTTTATATTGTAGCATAATCATGGCCATATGAGAAGTCGTATTGTATCGTACCGGGGGGTTATTTCACTTTCAAATGAAATGGCAGATGCTAGTAAGTGGGATGGCTATGAATGTCCTCTGTGTTTTCCTTGGAAGTAAAAATGGTATAGTCCACACCCCTGTTGGAAAGGTTCCCGTCCAACGCTACTAGGTGACGTCACCTTTAATGAACTAGGAAGCCCGCATAATCTTACCCTGACCAATCGTACTCTTGCGTATACCTAGCCAATCAGAGGCAGAGAAGGGCGGGTCATGCCTTTGCCAACCTCGGAAGAATACATCGTTAGCCGTGGACGCGGTGTGAATGGATAGTTGGTGTGCAGGTTCTGCTAGAGACCGCTGTAATAAACCGTGGTGACTGAACACATAAATGTAAGTTAATCGAAAGCTTTCGCAACTCACGCTTGCTAATGTACCGGTCGGTCACTGCGGTAGCTAACGTTACTAAGCTAACGATCAGTTTGGACAATGCTAACGTTTGCACAGCTATCTTTACGTTAACTCTAACGCAACGTTAACAAACTGATACAGTAACTAAAGCCATCACTACAATTAAATTAAATGGTTTAGCCTACACATCAGTCTGAGCGGTCTTTTCATCTATTATTATTTATTAAACTTAGACATAATGCTTGTCAGTTTATGATTGTTAGCTAACGTTGCCGCTTAAACTGTCATTTGGAGGTAACGTTAGTTTATTAAGGTAAAGGACTTTTTGTTCGCGCATTTAAATTAGAGATGAGCTGATTATTTTTGAGCCTCTAGTGAGTTAAACGATGGTCATTTATACCGTATTATTCCTTACACTAAATACAAATTACACCAGCTTCTTCCTATAGTTTATATAGTTATTCCAAAGCAGGAAGTCCACAGGTGTGAACTATTGGCATATATATGTTGTGTCTTGCCTTTCATCTTCCTTATGCACGCTTTTATTCGAGATAAATGTTACAAGGTGAGCACTCTTGCATAGTTGCCTCATTTGGAAAAGATGTTTGCTTCACACGGAGGAGATATTGTGAAATACATCCTGGGCACGCCTGGGCAAACTTAAAACAATTAAAAACGAAAAGGAATGAGTGTATTTTAATATTGAAGAGTAACTGCTTTCAAATAAATTACTAAGATGTAGCTCCACCAATGTCAAAATGGAGAGAACAATAGGGCAAATTCATGATATGGAAAAATAACAGAGTTAAGAGGTAACATTTCTTTGTTATTAAACATGTAAATCCCTCAGACCTTAGTGGTTTAATTAGACTTAGTCACATTGTAGGTGCACCTATACCAAAATCTCACTCTTTATATGTAATGTTTCTGCAAAAGTATAACCTTGACTTTGCAGTATTATGGGCTCTAGCACTAACAACATCCCGCTATAGGATTCATCTGAATAAAAAATAAATGCTGGGTGTTGGAATGAATGGATAATGTGTTTAGAGCTGATCTGTTTCTGTGCCAGCAGAGCGATGTCTCCTGATGAGCTGGTGTACTTGGGAGTTCTCGTTGCCTCCATCCCTGTTGGATTCCTCTTCCGTTACCTCAGTGAGTATTGTGGTCAGGTTAGACGTCTTTTTCTCCTTTCTTCTTTTCTTTTTTCTCTTTTTCTTTTCTTTTTTCTTACATATCATTTCATATCTCGCCTCATGTTTCATAATCTCTAATCTAATATATCTTATCTCTCATCTAACATAATTTCACATGTTTTACTTATCATCTTACATCTTACATCTAATCTTAAATGTTATTTAAGAAACAAGAGATGGAATCTAACTAACATCTCCTATATAATCTCATATTTCATGTAAATCATTTCAGATTTTTCATATAATTTCTTATATCATAATTTTCATATTTGGAAATCTTGAATTTAGGGAGTCTTTAGTGGGAGAATTTAGTGGACTTTGCAGGTGAGTCCTGGGTAACCATTTGCGCTAAGGACATATGTACAAGGAATTGCACCCAGTGAAGCCTTTAAAGATATGGAATGTCTGGTAATCTTATTAACAAGCTAAACTGAAATAAGAACTCTCTTTATATTTGGCCTCTAAAAAGGCATAGGCTTAACAGTTTGCAATGCAATTTTTGCACTGTGACACAAAATCCAGAATTTATATTTGTTCACATACAAAATACCAAACACTAAACATTTTAACATGATTTACCCAAGGAGTAGGGCTGCTCTTCATCTACAGCATCAATCCTCCTCAAGATGCTCATGATCATACATATACTGAAGTGTGTCGAATATGACATTGGACTGTCTCTTTATAGGGAAGCACTCCTGTTATTTGAAGGGATGAAGAAAGTAGAAATCTGCTCAGCAGTCTCTGCTCCATAGCCCGCTATTAAGGATTTGTGATGTTTGTTTTGGTGTTTGGGAAATTCATGGGTGATAGTGAAAGATGACTTTAAAATCATCTTTTCTTTTGTTCAGATTACTGGATTTTGCTCACCTTATCTTAAGCCTGTCTGTATGCTTCACAGCCTCTGTCTTGTCTTTTGCGACTGCAGTTTGTCAAGATCTTTGATTTGATTTTTTACTTTTTGCCACACAAAACAGTTCTGCAGTTTTGCTTTATGTTGTACATGTAATGTTGGCTCTGACTGTCGTTTGTGAGCCTCCATTGTTGTTTTTAAAAATAAATACTTGCACAAGGAAGGGATGATTGAATGACCTCTGTATGGAGTGTAAACACACACTGTATACTATATACTTTGGAGGAATATTGATGTGCCTGTTGTATTGGGTTGCAACTGGCTGACAGTGTCAAACATTCAAAAGTAGTTAAAAGCTGTTCTCTGGAAGTCATTTTCACACCATGTTTGTATTTTGATTCATTGATATTTATAGCATATCCTGTCTATGACATCAATGCAGTTTGTCATATGCTGTGTCTTGCTTTTTCCACCCCATGTAACTTATTAGTAGAAGGTGACTTAACTGTATAATTTTGTTTTTCACTTCAGGTCCTCCTGTGAAGCAGGGGGCATCTCTTCTTCTGGGCCTCTCTATCACCATCGCCACCTGTCACATCCACACACTCCACTCTCTGGTGACGGTGATTGGAACATGGATTATTATAAAGAGCAGCTGGAGGTCAGACACGTACATCCATATTTTTTACAAACTTATTACACAGACACTTTTACTACAAAACTCAGCACAGTAGGCCTTCAATTTGGAAGTATTTAGTGAATGAGCAATAATAAAGTCTATGAAACGTTTCAGCTGTAGTGTGCAGCAAAAGCGCAGATGCACACGGCACACAACAGGACTCCATAATTACAAAGGAGATAAAACATTCTTCATAAACCGGACTGCAGATACCATGCAGATATAACGCGTAAACTCGCTTACAACGTTTGTCTCTGTCTACAAGGCATGCCCCAGCATTGAGTCTCAGCTGGTCCTTTCTCTACCTCCTCTTCTTCCGGCTGGTCACTTGGTTTGGGCTGCCACCGCCGACGCCTTTTGCTAATGCCGTCCAGTTACTGCTCACTCTCAAGGTACAGAAAGCTCAGTCAGCGGATAAAATTTCCTGCAGCACCACTGTGTCTCCACACTTTGTGCGTCTTTGCTGACTTGTGATGCATCTTTCTGTTTTTAACTCAGATGGTGAGTCTAGCGAATGAGGTGCAAAGCTTTCACACGGAGAAGAAAAAGGAAGTGAGCTCTTTTGCCAAGTCTCCTGTGATTGGTGGTCTGTCTCAGGAGCCGTCTCTCTATGAAATTCTGTCCTATAGCTACTGTTATGTGGGTATAATGACCGGTAAGTCTGTGGAAATCTCTGACACTTCTCAGAGTTATGTTTGTGTGCAAGCTGTTTATATTCATGTGTGTTTTTAATTTGCTTTTGAATGAATTTTAACTGTTGTCTCTCTTTGTCTCACTCTCTGCTACTTGTCCAATATTGTGAGTCCATATCATTTTCAGTATTATTTAAAATTGCTTCTGGTTTTCATATACCTCTACTCTCTTTTTGTTTTCTTACTCCCCTCTTCCATCGAACAACACCCTCTCTTCTTTTGAACCACAATGTCACTGTTCCCTATTGTGTCTTGCATTATCCTGATTTTCCATTTTTGTCTATCACTGTCTTCTCAACGCTGCCTTTATCCCTTTATGTCATCCCTCCATCTCATCCCAAAAGGTCCGTTCTTTCGCTTCCAAACGTACGTTGACTGGCTGAAGCAGCCAAGCCCGCAGGCGCTGCCCGGCTGGGTGCCGTGCCTGCAGCGTTTGAAGACAGTTCCCTTCTACGGCGCTCTGTTCCTGGCTGTCAACTCTGTCTTTCCACTGGATTACGTTCGCACAGAGGATTTCCTGGATCAAAACTTTTTCTTTAGGTATCATTACAATGCATTATTGCTCTGGTAACGTCTTTTAATCATAGTAACAGTGTCAGTATTTTACATTTATTATATAATTATCATTGCACAGTTTCATTAATCTGAAATAATGATGATAAATTAATACAATAAATATAAAAATTAGTATACACCCACTAGTAAATTCCAATCAAGTCCAAGAAGACTACAAATTGTGGAGGGCCCAGTAGTTATTTAGGATTGATTGTTAGTAATATCCCTGCAGCTCTTTGGTACGATTGAGATTCCTCTCTTTCTCTCCCTCACCAGGCTGTTCTACATGATAGCAGTGTTCTTCGTGTTTAGGATGCGTTTCTATGCAGCGTGGTGTGGAGCTGAGGCCGGTTGTATCAGTGCAGGTCTGGGCTGCTATCCAGAAAAAGCACTGTCCAAACCTGGAGGAGGACCCACTGTCAACTACAGGTACAGAATCACAGGAACAGCAAGTATATTGCATAAATTATTGCTCACTAACATCTTGGTTGGTATATAGTTCATAGTGATGTTGTTGAAAGTTAGTATTTCTGCCAAGTTGCTATTTTTCCCCTTGTGGCCAGTCCCGATCCCACAGCTGAAGAGGAGAAATATGACTTCAAAACCATCCAGAACATTGACTGCTACAACACTGACTTCTGTGTGAAGGTCCGACATGGCATGCGTTACTGGAACATGACAGTGCAATGGTGGCTGCATCACTACATCTACCCCAATTCCCCCTTCAAAGCCTACACTCTCAGGTAAGGCTTTATATGTGCAGCGGTTTCTGCTTATTTTACCGGCACGAATCCCTGTACTCATCCATAAATGTGTGGTGTGTTCGGGCCTCAAAATGCCTTTATGGGACCTTTGCAATGACGTAAAATCTTAAAGATGTCAGCTGTGAGGTAACAGCAAAATTCTCCAGATTAGTAATGTGCCAGAAAAATCAGAGTTTTGTTTGGGGTTTTATTTTAAGATTTCGTTCAGTGAGAGAAGAAACATTTGAGGAAGAATATGAGAGAAGAGACCTGTGTTTTTGGACTACAATGGAAGTTTACGACACACAGAAATCATATCACATCAGGTTTTGGCTTCACAGACAATACTTAGTAGGATTAGTTCACTGTGGATTTTGATCTATTCATGGGATTTGTTGCGTACAAGAAAAATACATAATATCATCATACTTTAAATCTCAATTTATTGTGTAAAATCTCTGTTTATTTCCTGAAAGACAGGGCACATGTAATGATTATTTAATCTCCTACCACATACTTTAAATAATTTATATCAAATTTGCTGTTTAAAACTTAAAAACACATATCAAACCACTGTGATCCTGCCAACAGAAATAAATCAAATGACAGAAGTCAGAAACCCTCAGTGGCGTCTCAATTCAACATCTGTCGTGTTTGTCTGTAACTCTCAGGGCTGGCTGGACCATGTTCATCAGCGCCTACTGGCACGGACTACACGCTGGCTACTACCTCTCCTTCCTCACTATCCCCCTGTGCATCGCAGCCGAGTCCGCCATGGAGGCCTCCGTCCGAGCTAAACTGGGTCCTCGTGGGCAGAACATCTTCGACTGGGTTCACTGGTTCTTAAAGATGAGGGCCTACGACTACATGTGCATGGGTTTTGTGCTGCTGAAGGCTTCCGACACCATCAACTACTGGGCGTCCATCTACTTTACCATGCACGTAATCGCCGTCTGCTGTATAATAGTCGGCAGGGCCCTGAAGGGAGGGAAAAGGGAAGGGAGGAGCGGGGACAAGGAGGAGAAACGGGCGGGAGAGAAGATAGAAAACGTGAAAGAGAAAACTGGAGAAAAAACAGACTGAATGGAGTTACAGAGGAGAACTGGTTGGATGCTTTTTTGGACAGAAGCCTCATCTTTCAAGCAACAAACATCACACACATCCAATAAGATTTCTTGTGGGAAAATGTAAAAGTTCAACTCGATTTAATTAAAAATGCAGTAAAACATACAAACTGGTAAAAACCGGTAAAAGGTCGCCACTGGAGACATTTCGTATATGTACATGTACATAAAAGCACTGTGAAGACTGGGAGAGGAATGTTTGAACTCAACGAATGTCACTTTCATAGTGTGAATGGCACCTGGGGTGTAAATAGTTTACTAGTTCAATATTTCACTCCCCTTGTCTGCGCGTCTGTGTTTTTATTTCAAGATACCATGCCCAATTTTAAGTGAACTGCACATTCCAACAGCACTGAGTATTGTGTTATAGTACGTTTTATACTGGAGGACATATGAGTAGAAGTAACACAGTCATGGGTATCATTAGGATGCAGCTGTTAAGGCCTATCTGCGAGCATTATCAAAGTTAGCCAAGAACAAAATAATTCTGCTGCCATTTGCCATTTTAAATCAGCGCTGTTCACCATATTAAATAGTCGATATAGAAGTATGTTTTTGCAATAATTAAATGCAGAAATTGCAGTGTAAAACTTACTATGCAGCCCTCATTATCAGCGGCCATTATTTCACTTCAAGCAGAAATACAAGCACCACAGCGCACAGGGATATTCAGACTCGTTTAGGTCTATAGCAGCAAAGCGAAGTCCGGGTTACATTTGTTATGCTGCATAATTATATTCTTAATGTGTTTTAGAAGTAGTGTTAAAAAACCTCAAGCATTTCCAGCATTATACTGTTTGTCATTTTACTTGCTGCAAATTTCTGTGCTGTGGTTTACTTCCTTAATCCAGTGAAGCCAAAAGGTTTCCCTGAGCCCCCCCACTGTTGTTCTGTCTGTAATTGTAAGCAATTCGGATCACATCAGGAACATGTGCACTGACATCTGTATAGCAGTGTTGTATCGAGTGAAGAGTGTGCCATGTGAAAGATAGCAACAGTCCGTTCACTGCCAAAATGTCTGTACTGCCATCATGTACCATTCAGGGTTGGGACCAAACATTTGATACAAGTTTCACGTCGTACAGTATAAGCTGCCAATGTAAGTCATGAGCAACAGCACAGCTAGGGCTGGGTGATATAGTTGAAATCATTATCATAATGTTAATTAGGTTATTTTCCAATACTGATATACTGCATTTCATTAGCTCTGTACCCACACCCTGCATAATAAAGTTGAATCTAATCTAATGTAATGACATGTCACAGTATGAAAAGTATATGCAAATCATATATGATATAATCAAAGTGATGTTCAAATAAATAGACAGTTCCAATGGTATTACATGTGACCAAATGTAGAACAAAAATGTATATTTTATAGGAATTTAATCGAACAGCAGAATTTCTAGATGATAACATTATATCACAGTAATGCTTATAATATTGAATTTTCACTTTTCCGCCCAGCCCTAACCGCAGTAACCATGTATTAGTTGGAAAACCTGTTGAGAGTGTGATAACTCTAGGGCATCTCTGTTGCATATGAGCATGACTGACCGCAGAATTGAAAGGTCTTCACTGTGTTTGGCTCTCTAAATGTTACTTGGAGCTGAGATCATTTGAATCACAAACAGATTTTGTGTTAATGTCTTTTCCCTCTGTGTGCCAAGACTCAACCCTTCTGAAGTGGATCCTTTTGTTTTTATTATTGCAAAATGATGATTGTGAATTCTAGTCCTTCAATTGACTGTTCATTTCCAGACCATTTATTTTTCAGCCTTTTGTCTGCCTCTATCTGTGACTTCAGACACATGATGCACCCACTCTCTGCTTTATGGAATATAGCGTTTCCTCATTACACACTTGGGTTTTCTTAAGTCTACTTGATGTGTGAATTATTTGTTCATTATGAGGTGCATAGTTACCTTGTGTTAAGTCTTTAAAATAAAGCTTGTGGAAAACACGATGTCACTGGAAAATCATTAACTCTCCAATAGTGAACACGAACACATGAAACAGTGTTTCAGTTGAGCTAATAGTCGGTGTGTGGTTACACTCATTTGATAAAACAAACATGTAGCTGGTGAATTTATAATTTACTCCAATCCAATAAGTCTAACGTTAAACGTCTTTTAGTCAGATTTAGGGAATATCTCCTAATGATCCGCTAGCATGTTATGTGTGAACGGTGTTTTTACACAGCCGTGGCTCTATAAATGTGAAACAAAGCCAGACAACACTATTTCAGCCATGATTTGTGTGTCCGGTAACGTTAAATTACTTTCCTCCGACATTAAGCTACGCCTACACCATATGCTGTTGTAGCCTAGTGATGTTTGCTATAGTAGCAGTTGTAGTAACGTTAGTGACAGTTTGCTAACCCACAACTTAACGTTAGCTAGCGTTAGTTACGTTGACAAATAAATATATATATAATTTGTTCCCCTCACTCATTAAAATTCACCAAAATAGTTTCTGAAGCTCCCAGTACATTTAACCACACGTCTGTGAACACACCAGTGTCACAAAAATCACACAAGTTTATCAGGCCGTCCTGTAACTTTATGCTTCTTTTCTTCCAGCTGGTTGTTAGACAGTGCAAACTGTAAATGGATGGTAACTATCTCCTTGGAAATAATGGGTTAAACTCATACAAGGAAGTACCTGTGTGGTCATTTACAAAGGGGAGTAAAGTCCGTGAGAGAAATCAACAGGGAAGAGGTTCCTGGATTGGCAGCATTTCCTCATGAAGAGAAGGCTTCACCTTCTCTTTGTTTTATTTTATTCTGAACTTGCCGCTGGTAACGTAGCCTATTAGATGTGATTACAGAGGAAAGTCTTCAAAGCTGTTAGTGTTAAACTGCATCAGAGAAATGACCAGTGAACTACAGAGACAGGACTCAACGGTGTATAACTATATAATGTTAGGTGTGTGTTGCTTTTCTTTTCTCGAATCACTTAACTTGTTTGTTGATTTTAAACACACTAAATATCTCAATAATGTTATTGTGTATGTAGAATCATCTTTTAATCTGACTGAAGTGTCTTGCCATATATATATTAATGTATCATTTTTCTTCGGTGTTTTTGGATCCTTCACCTCTCACAGGGAATGGTAACCCTGGTGACCAGCAGTCACTGAGGTCACGACGGGTTTCATCTCGAGCGTCCAATCAGAACTATCCTCAGTTCAGCTGGAGCCCGAGGCCTTCAAGTGAGGATGGAGAGGGCAACAGTGGAAAGCCCAAGGACCTCAGGGGCATCCCTCTGCCCATGGCATTGAAAAGAGCTGTGCGGTATGAAACTTACTTCTGAATGTTATAATGTATACTACAACTACAATAAATATTTTTTATAATAACAATATATCAAATGACAGTGTGAAAACAATGTTAAAGTGGTCACATGGTAGTGATAAACTTACAGAGTCAGATCACCCGAGTACCATAAAACCCTCCCTGCCTATATTTAGGACAGGTGTCTCTATTGGATGGGCTTTCAATTCTTGCTGAGCAAATATATAGGCTACTATCAAATTGTTGATTTCAACCAGTAGCCTATGAATATTACTTGTATAATATATATCTGTATTATTATTTATAATATAGATATTTTTCACATTTCACTTATTCACCACACAAGTAATTCTGAATTGTTTCCATAAAATGAATTAAATGATTGAATTGTGGAGAACCTAACTCATCTTACAATGCATGTCCATATTGACAAAAGTGTAAACTTTTATATTTGTATGTGCGATCTAAGCAGCTTAGAACTTTAGTTCAAGCGGGTTCAAGAGGTTTTATACAGGTGCATTACAGAAAATGTATACATTCTTTAGTGTAATATTTTGAGTGATGGATTTTGCGATTTGGATTTTTGATTTCCATGAGCTGTACGCCATAAACATCAAGATTAAACAAAAAAGGCCTGAAATATTTCATTTTATGTGTAATGAATCTAGAATATATGAAAGTTTCACTTTTTGACTTAAATTACTGGAAAAAAGGAACTGTCCCGATGCACCTGTACATCCAGAGATCTTCTATTAAAACCAGAACAGGCATCTAATTGAGACCTGCGTTTATTTGTCCAATGTGTGGTCACACCACGCCAGTAAAAGGGACAGGAGTCTAATTGGGAAAGGCTTTACTGTTTTGGTTTACTCTCAAGGTTGTTTTTGATCTTAGCAGGCAGCTGTTTTCAGCAAAAAGGCTCTAAACCCACTGCACATTACCTGCTCAGCACCAAACAACAGACAGACACGCGAGCAACTAGCTGATGAACATAACTGAGCATTTAGCAGCTCAAACAGCCAGATATTTCCCTCAAGAGTTGGACCAGACCAAACACAGAGCTAAAAGAGAGTTAATATTGGACTTCATGCGAAACACGACTCCAAATTAAAAATAATGTTGATGGATATGTAACTAAGCAATTGTTTGCTAACAAGTTCCCCATCTCAACTTAAAAGTTGATGATTCAGAAGTCAGTTGGGAGTTCACAACTTGTTTCTGCTGCCCCCAAGTGGCCAAATCAATCAGTTATTGCAGGTTTAATTCAATTCCTGTATGGCCAATTCTCTGTGTACTGTAGGTTTATGTATGCTAGAGGCTTTAAGTTTCCACATCACATACCCTTTATTTTATGAGTTCGTAATTTTCTTATAATTTCCTGCAAACAGGAACATGGATATGTAATTTGGTACAAATTATAGAGAAACTAGGAATGCTATTGAAAGAAAAGATCCCTTTAAATGCAAGTAAACTTATCATTTGGTCTTTTTAAAACTTCTACACTACAAATGTCAGGTGTTTGTATGTTCAGCTGAGCAGCTGTGTATCTATACTGTCTTTAGTTTCCTTATGATGAGAACCGAATCACATATTTCTTATAAGGAAATGTCTTGGAAATTACTTGAAGATTCCTGACCCATAAAATAAAGTGTTACTAACAATTATCTCACACAGTAGTTACCCACAGAGTCATTTAAGTGTAACTTGTTCATTACAGGCAGGTGCAGCAAATGCAGGTGCCAGTGGTTTCCAGGAGGGAGTCCTGGAAACGGAACAAGGCCAAATCTCTGCGTAAGATCAAAGACAATGCCAGTGGATTTCTCAACTTTTTCGCACTGTGGAGCAAATCCTTGCAAAAGATCGGAGGTAAACATGTAACCACTAATTTCAACAGGACATTTCGGGGCTTGGTTAAAGAAAAATGTTCAAAATCTCCAGCCTACAGACTACACATGTATACTTCATGCGTAATACGGTCAAAGAAAAGTTTTAATTCATTTTACACATTTGCATTTTTAATGAAATCATGGCCCTTTGCTACCACAGGGAACTTCGGAGGTGGCGTCCAGTCTTACTTCCTGTTCCTGCGATTCTTGGTGGTGCTCAATTTTGTTTCCTTTTTACTGATTGCTGGATTTGTCCTCATCCCCAGCATCGTCTTCAGATCTGTTGGGCTCAGTCTTGTTAACAACACTGGTAATGGCTTGTTTGCTCACAACATTTTCACTTGAAGGTAAAACATAGCAGTGGTACAATATATTTTCCTGGTTCTTCATTGCCACATATTTCCTGCGTTCTGACATTTTAGCACAATTTTCTCTAATATTATATACAGGTGCTGGTCATATAATTAGAATATCATCGAAAAGTTGATTTATTTCAGTAATTCCATTCAAAAAGTGAAACTTGTATAATTTATACATTCATTCCACACAGACTGATATATTTCAAGTGTTCATTCCTTTTAATTTTGATGATTATAACTGACAACTAATGAAAACCCCAAAATCAGTATCTCAGAAAATTAGAATATTGTGAAAAGGTTCAATATTGAAGACACCTGGTGCCACACTCTAATCAGCTAATTAACTCAAAACACCTGCAAAGGCCTTTAAATGGTCTCAGTCTAGTTCTGTAGGCTACACAATCATGGGGAAGACTGCTGACTTGACAGCTGTCCATAAGACGACCATTGACACCTTACACAAGGAGGGCAAGACACAAAAGGTCATTGCTAAAGAGGCTGGCTGTTCACAGAGCTCTGTGTCCAAGCACATTAATTGAGAGGCGAAGGGAAGGAAAAGATGTGGTAGAAAAAAAGTGTACAAGCAATAGGGATAACCGCACCCTGGAGAGGATTGTGAAACAAAACCCATTCAAAAATGTGGGGGAGATTCACAAAGAGTGGACTGCAGCTGGAGTCAGTGCTTCAAGAACCACCACGCACAGACGTATGCAAGACATGGGTTTCAGCCGTCGCATTCCTTGTGTCAAGCCGCTCTTGAACAAGACACAGCATCAGAAGCGTCTCGCCTGGGCTAAAGACAAAAAGGACTGGACTGCTGCTGAGTGGTCCAAAGTTATGTTCTCTGATGAAAGTAAATTTTGCATTTCCTTTGGAAATCAAGGTCCCAGAGTCTGGAGGAAGAGAGGAGAGGCACAGAATCCACGTTGCTTGATGTCCAGTGTAAAGTTTCCACAGTCAGTGATGGTTTGGGGTGCTATGTCATCTGCTGGTGTTGGTCCACTGTGTTTTCTGAGGTCCAAGGTCAACGCAGCCGTCTACCAGGAAGTTTTAGAGCACTTCATGCTTCTTGCTGCTGACCAACTTTATGGAGATGCAGATTTCATTTTCCAACAGGACTTGGCACCTGCACACAGTGCCAAAGCTACCAGTACCTGGTTTAAGGACCATGGTATCCCTGTTCTTAATTGGCCAGCAAACTGGCCTGACCTTAACCCTATAGAAAATCTATGGGTATTGTGAAGAGGAAGATGCGATACGCCAGACCCAACAATGCAGAAGAGCTGAAGGCCACTATCAGAGCAACCTGGGCTCTCATAACACCTGAGCAGTGCCACAGACTGATCGACTCCATGCCACGCCGCATCGCTGCAGTAATTCAGGCAAAAGGAGCCCCAACTAAGTATTGAGTGCTGTACATGCTCATACTTTTCATGTTCATACTTGGCCAACAATTCTAAAAATCCTTTTTTTGTAGAGATACTGAATTTGGGATTTTCATTAGTTGTCAGTTTTAATCATCACAATTAAATGAAATAAACATTTGAAATATATCAGTCTGTGTGTAATGAATGAATATAATATCCAAGTTTCACTTTTTGAATAGAATTACTGAAATAAATCAACTTTTTGATGATATTCTAATTATACGACCAGCACCTGTAGTCTAATATAGTCTCCTCACAGTAGGATACACCAGTTTCCAGGCAACAGTGTTCATAGGAGTAAATATAGAGACAGCAGTGCCAGCCGTTGTATTCCCCTCAGAAATAAAATGAAGAAATGGTCACTGTGCATAAGCAGAGGCTTTATTCCCACAATGATATTGGAAGAAATAATGCTATTACCTAAGGTTCTTTTGTAAGTATGTGTAAAATGTAGAAGATATAGTGTTGACGTTTTTTTATCATTAACAACCAAGAACCTAAGCTGCTCATTTTCACAAGAGAATGGGTTGCTATTTTCATATGGAGGATTTCTAATTTAATCAAAACCCTTAGATTTTTTAAAAGCTGTGTGAGGAAACTAGATTTATCTTTATCTAGATGATAATGTAGGGATTAAGACCCTCTGTCTCTGCTATCAAGTGAGCCACAGGTCTGCATTTAATCACCATTGTAGCATTTACTCAACCTCCTCTTTCTCTCTTTCTATTACTCTTAAAACATAAGGATAACTATGTATGGTAGAGAGGTTCAGGGAAACTTATAGAAATACTGTAATTTCTGAGAACAACTTGGTGATACCAGGCTGCTGAGAATGCAAACAGAGATCATCAAGCATTCCCCTGTGTTTTACAGGTCCAGAGGAATGCATGGCTTATGATCCTAATCCTCAAGGCTTGGTGGCGTTCTATAAGTACTTCCTTGACTTACTTTCGGGGACGGTGAGAAACTGCAGCATTGTAATGACCTGCAAAGATATGAGAGCTGCAGAACATACAGCGAAACATACAGTATATTAATGTTTTTCATTATCGGACATTATGATTCTCTACACCTTTGGCTGCATCTAACTGCAAGAAAGCATATAAGCACATTAACAAACAAAGTTGATGTGTAAGTGTAGGATTCAATATGGCATACCACTTTCTTATGACCGCACTAAAAAAACAAACGTGGTTATAAAGTTGACATGACAGAATGGGATAAATTGGATCAATATAAAGGTTGATCAATATCCTAGCAGACTATTTCTACACACAATTTTCAACAAAACTATATTCTTTGCTGTAAATTTAAACCACATACCATGGACGTTACATACGGCATGCTTAATGATTATCCTCTTCTCTTTGTTTAGGGTTTTATGGAGTATTCATACATGTTTTATGGCTACTACAACAACACAATGATGGAGGAAAGTAACTTCTCCTACAACATCCCCCTGGCCTACCTCTTCACTGCTGTCTTCTACTTCGCCTTTTGTCTCGTTTGTATCATAGCACGGTCAGTCCCAGAACAAACACTTCCAGGTTCAGTATTAATAATCAGGATCTGGCCTGTGTGTGTGTGTGTGTGTGTGTGTGTGGTGTGTGGTGTGTGCGCGCGTGTGCGTGTGTTCAGGTCAATAAGTGAAATAAATAGAATGACATTTAAAAGCAAGAGTCGACTCATGTAGACTTGCATCTGTATCCTCTTCCCTGACTGGCTGCTCACATACAGCATGGGGACTGCAGCTCGAGTTGCTGTGGCAACGGGAGGCAGCGCCGTGGGCAACTACAGCATGATAGTGTTCACCAGCTGGGACTATGGATGCCTGGGAGACCACGCTACCAAACTGAAGCAGAAAAACATCCACTACCGGCTGCAGGTCAGAGGGAATACGTCCTACTTAGCAGGATGTGTGTGAAGGTTCTCATTCATCTGGGTCATTATTATCCAAGGAAGGTTTTAATCAAGAAAAACTGGACTTGGTTGAAGATGCTCAGAGACATTTCTCTCAGCTATTTAACCTCTGTGGGTCGTTGTGAAGATGATCGATCATTAGTGCATCTTCAACCAGATCCAGTTGCCCTAGAGTTTAACCTTTTTTGGATACTTAGCAGGATGGAGGACAGTTAGGAAAAGAGAAATGTGATGGACATGCAGCAATCATTCCCTGTAAGTGACATGCTTTCAGATGACCCCTTGTCTCTTCTCTTTCCCTGTCAGGTGGATCTGGAGGAGGAGACCATAAAGAAAAGGGCAGCTTCTCTGACTTTGGGTCAAAAAATAGTTTTATACTCTCTACGTGTTTTTATGTGTTTTGTTGCATTTGGGCTCATTATTGCGGCCTTCTACGGGATCTCCGCGGCCACCGACTTCAGCCAGGTAAATGTTGTAGAAGGAGAGTGATAATGCTGATGTGGTCTTGGGTCTAAAAAGTCTTGCGTGACCTTTTGACTCCTATCTTTGACAAACAGAAAAAGAGTGATGAGCAAGGGATCCTCGGTTTGATTTTTGAGTATCTACCTTCAATTGTCATCACCGCTGGAAACTTCCTGGTGCCACTGCTGTGTGACCAGATCGCCTTGATAGAACGATATGCCCCCAGCACTACTGTTATAGTGGCACTATTAAGGTTTGCACTGGTGTTCCTGTGAGATAGTGATTATGTCCGAGCATTTTCTTTTAATTCATTTACAAGTAAAACCCTGCATTCAAAAGTGTACAAAGTACAAAAAACAATATCAACAAAATATACTTAAAAGTATCAAAAGTAAAAGTGTTCTAAAAAATGATCACAAAATTAAGGGGTCATGAGATGATTAATGCCCTGTGATGATTTGGCAACCTGTCCAGGGTGTACCCCGCCTTTCGCCCGATGTCAGCTGGGACTGGCTGTACACAGGATAAGTGGTTGATGATGGATGGATGGATGGAGATGATTAATGGGAGAAAATATTTTTTTCAACACAGAAATGTCTATACATTTTTCGGATTTTTTCCCCTAATCTCTGCGTTTTGTGAAACATTGGATCATTTTACCTCTTTGGACCTTGGAAACTTTTATTTAAATGAAACCATCTGAGGTTTAGAGGGGAAATCACCTTTTAGTGGAACCGCTAACAACTCATAGAAAGCTGAAACCTGTGACAAGGGTCCACATGTTTTGTATTGTGTTTTCTAACCTTATTATGTTTTTTAATGTAAAATCTTGATTTGAACATATGTAATGTCTGTAACGTATATGTGAACTTCAGGGTGTATCAGTACACCATTACTTCTTATCACAGCCAATCACACCCATTGGTGATGCTAAGTCTGGTACAGATTGAGTTTTAACCAGGGAGGACAGTTAACACTGCGTTAAACTTGATGTTAAGTTACTCTAAAACATAGTTTCAAACAAAATCAGTTTCAGTTCAGTTTATTTTACCTCGTCATTTCTCTTCCATGTATAGGGCAGTGTTCCTTCGTCTGGTGAGTCTGGGTGTTCTCCTCTTCACCCTGTGGAGACAGATCACGTGCGAGGGTAACACAGACAGTGATAACTGTACGCTGTGCCATTACAACTATAAGATCTACCCGGTAATTATACTTCTTGCATGTGTGTGAGTGCATGTGAAATAATTTTAAAGATGCTTGTTCTTCAGAAACCTGATCAAAGGAGTCTCCAAGCTGTTAGATAAGAACCAACAGCTTAAGAACAAAAATAAAAACAAAAAATCCAATGCGATTCTGCATTTAGGAGATTGCAAAATATTTGTTAAACTAATCTAACTTCCCTGTTATGGCTATGTTTACACAAGCAAAATATTTGTTAATCTAATTTAACTTCCCTGTAATGGCTGTGTTTACACGAGGAAAGAATTCTGTTTGCAGTTTGTTTTTGCATCAACACATTGCAGAGACAGAGTAAGCTCTAAGTTAGCTAGATCGACTGAGGACCACAGTAGATGACTGCAAGAATGAGAAAAAGAAGCAGATTGTTGGTAGTTTGGGTATAGTAGTATCAATATGATTCCTCCTGAAATTCATTTTGATCTAACAAAGTCACAAATGACAAAGATAAAGCCTCAGTTTGTCAGTTCTTCACTTAACCATGATGGTGGTATTGATGGAAGTACATTATAGTTGATTGTCTCATTTTCTGAGCCACTTTAGTAAATACTTTAGTATACTAATACTTTATGACATGGAGTATAATTACATTGTGTGTGTGTAGAGTGCTATGATTAGAAAAGAATGTGCCTACAATAAGCAACAAAGTCCTAATTTAAGAATGTGCGGGAAACAAAAGAACTCAAAATAAGGTTAATTTAGAGTCTTTTCAACATTTAAATATTGTAAGACAAGTTCACTTTGTCATTGTTTGTCTTGTCATGTAGTGCTGGGAAACACGTATAGGACAGGAGATGTACAAACTGACACTGTTTGACCTCCTCATCAACATAGCTGTGCTTGTCCTGGTGGAGTTCCCGCGCAGGTACAAATCACTCTGTGAACAATTGGTCTGTATTAAACAGATGGAATCTGTGCAAATGAATACAGTACATTTAGATTTTGTTAAAACATAAAGAGACAGATCATGTTGAGAGTTGAATATTAATCTGTGTGATTGTACTGTGTGTGTGTGTGTGTGTGTGTGTGTCAGGATGGTGGTGGACAACTGGTCCAGTAAGCTGGCCCAGTGGGTGGGTCGGCAGGAGTTCGTAGTTCCCTACAACGTGCTTGGACTGGTATATGGTCAGACTGTGGTTTGGACAGGAGCTCTTTTTTGCCCTCTGCTGCCACTCATCAACTCCATCAAGTTTGTCATCCTCTTCTACTGCAAGAGGGTGAAGACCAACATTTCACACAAAGGAGAAAGTTATTCACCAACTCTCTGCTATGGTTTTGGCCCTTGTTTCATGTCTCCATTGCCATTTTCCTCCTCAGATCACACTCTTATATAATTGTCGGCCAGCAATGAAGACGTTTCGCTCCACCACCTCCACCTTCTTTTTCCTGGTGGTACTCCTGTTTGGCTGGAGTCTGGCCACAGTTGTCATGATTTACAGTCTTTCTGAGTGAGTGCTTATTGCTGCCTTCTTCCCTGTAACAATCACAACAGAAGGGACTTTTAGTTTAACACCAGCAGTGACAAGTACTTATTTTGAAATAGGAATAAAAGAAGACGTGGAGGTTTATATTTCTCAGGTCAGATAGTTAGATTAAAAAATGTGTGCAGTCAAGGGAAGGAGCCATGGAAATATTTTCATGTTATATTACATTATTGACGACAAGTGTTTCCCTCTTTCCACCCAGGATCCATCCTTCTATGAGTTGCGGCCCTTTCCGTTTCTTCCCCAACATGTGGTCGATTGTTCCAACCTCTTTCTACAGCCTCTCTAAAATTACACAAGATTTTCTCTTCTTCATTGGTTCCCAGGCCTTCTCCATCCCTCTGTTTGTGTTATTTTGGTGAGTAGGCTTTCTATAGGATCATTATTCTGGGTTTATATTGTAATGTAAAATATTTTAGCTACATATTTTATGGTCCTTCGTTTTATGATGTATAATCATGGCTGTTTTCTCCCTGGTAGCGTGGTGATGTGTTATTTCATAGCCTTAGCGTCTGTCTATGGGAAAAGTGTTGCCCTGCTAAGAGTTCAGCTTAAACTGGTAAGTTGTTGGCATTTACCTGTATGGTGCATTGTAAAGCAAATACTTCCATGGTCTTGAATTTAAACAATATGTGGGTTGGCCTGTGTGATTTCCTAATACTCGCAGGCATTCAGTTTTACTAATGCATTGGTCTTTGGCTTACAGGAGAGCCGTGACAAGCAGTTCTTGGTCAAGCAGATCGAGGAGCTGAGTCGACAACTTCAGATACCAAAACACACCGCAGGAGCACAAGACTGAACATGGCATAGCGACATTGTTAAGTTTTTACGACCTTCTAAACACTAAACAACATGATGAGGCATCTGAAAGGACTGTATGTGTATAAAGCCAGTTTCATAATGCTGCTTACAGTTTAGCAGACAATCCTGCAACATGATTATTGAATTATATATGTTGTGGTTTTTGACAGATCAGATAGATATGTTTTCTAGGAAAATTAAAACTTGTTTGTTATTAATATACCCAAGTTAGTGGTATATGTTTAATTACATAAATGCCAAGCAAAGAGTGCCTTTGTTCTAAATGCAACGTTTCACCACCTTTGTCTGTCCATGAAAATAGAGTTGTATGTCTTTGTTTTCCTTTTACATAATAAAATGAGAGGTAGTAGCCCCCTCTAGTGTCAAACGTGTGGAGTTGCAGAAATGTGTAATGTTTACTTCCTGTTTGTAACTACTTGTTCCGGTGGTCTAACTGCAGCACTCCCCTCTCAGGAAGTTAGTGAATGTTTGCGTCTTTATTTTTTAAAGTTAAATAGTTGAAATGATGAGTTCAGTGTGAGGAGGCAAAGTAAATGCACGTCTAAACTGTGGCGTTAAAGTGTAAGGTTAGCATTAAGCGAAGTAGAAAGTAGCTTGGCTAACGTGAAGTTAGCTTAAGCAGCACCAAAAACAGTGGTAACTTCTATTTTTCTGTTTTTGTACTTGGCTGAGCTGTACTTATTTCTGCTCACTTCCTCCTGCTTCAAACGGTTTATGGACAAATTGAGTGTCTGACCGTGCTCACTGCTCAATCGCCACTTCAGTCGACGCTAGCCTGCTCAGCTAGCTGACTGCTAACCGACAGTATCATCATCTGAAGCCAAGACAACAATGAATATCCTTCCAAAGAAGAGCTGGCACGTGCGCAACAAAGACAACGTCGCTCGCGTGCGGAGGGACGAGGCCCAAGCAGCAGAGGAGGAGCGCGAGGCCAAGCGGCGTGTGGAGCGCGCCGAGCAAGAGGTGACCCCGGTGGTGTTGTCATAGATGTCCAAAAGTTTGAGTTCACCTCCAGCCCCACAAACCCAGTGCCATTATTATCAAACACACTGTACACATGTTAAGTCAAGTTAAGTTCCCTAAACGACATTGTAAGCCCAAAATGTTTGCAGGTTCTGCTATTTCCAGAGTGTTACTTCAGTTAAGCATTTGTAAATTTAAACTTCTGTCATTAGGAAACATCTCTATCTAGTTCACAAATTGTCTTGTTTTGTCTGATCAACAGTAATAAACTCAAAAGACATTCAACTTAATTTCATATATTGCAAAGAAAAGCAGGAACCTCTGACTTTGAGAAGCTGGGAACAGAAATGACTGAAACAATTAGTGAAATATTAAAAATAGTCTACTTGCTGTGGTTAGCACTGCTGCCTCACAGCCAGAATGTCTTGGGTTTGAACTGCGGTGGTCCAAGGCCTTTCTGTGTGGAGTTTGCATGTCCTCCCTGTATCTGCGTGAGTTCTCTCCAGGTGCTTTGTATTCCTCCCACTGTCCAAAGACATGCAGGGTAGGTTAATTGGTGACTCTAAATTGCCCTTAAGTGTGAGTTGTTGTCTGTAAATGTGTTGGCCCTGCGATAGACTGTCAACTTGTGCCCTGCCTTTCGTTCGATGTTTACATTCATAGACTAGGAAAGAAACCAGAAGATATTGACATTTAAGAAGCTGAAATCAGAGATTTTTTACTTTGTTTCTTAAAAAATTACTCAAACCGATTAATTAATTATCAAAATATTTGGTGTTTAATTTAATAGTTGACAACTAATTGATTAACCATTGCAGCTCTATTGCTCACCAGTGTGAGCCTCAGCAAAAATTAATCACAAAACTCTCCTCCAACAGTCCTTGCTTTATTCTGCAAACGAGACAGCCTGTGTTATCATCCTAAAATTACCATACAGACTCTTTTGCTGTGATATTTGCAGTATTATCTAACAAATATTCCTCTCCACAGGCACGTACAGAGTATCTGAGAAGGAAATCCCGAGCTGCTCTCCAGTCAGAAGGAGGAACCAGGGATGATGATGATGGTGATGATGAGCGGGGCAGAGGAAGTGGAGTTCTGGAGCATCTTAATCTTTTTCCCCTGGAGGAGTCTTCAGAGAAGAAGGGGAATGAGGAGTATCTCAAAGAAAAGAAAGATGAAAAGGTGCAACTTCTTATGTCAATCTTTTGTATCGTTTACATGAGGAGTTCACATTCAAAACTCCTGTGACTGTTTTTTATGTTTTCCATGTTTCCTTTTCCAGATTTTAGTAGTTTAATACCATTTCTGACTTTACACTGATGCCGTAACCAGGGTCAGCAGCGTAACATAATTGTGATTGGCCCCAGTGCAAATGTTTTTCTTCTTCCCACCTCCCCAAAAAGCATGTTTGTCTATACAGGTGCTGGTCATATAATTAGAGTATCATCAGAAAGTTGATTTATTTCAGCAATTCCATTCAAAAAGTGAAACTTGGATATTATATTCATTCATTACACACAGACTGATATATTTCAAATGTTTATTTTATTTAATTGTGATGATTAAAACTGACAACTAATGAAAATCCCAAGTTCAGTATCTCCGAAAATTAGAATATTACTTTAGACCAATACAAAAAAAGGATTTTTAGAAATGTTGGCCAACTGAAAAGTATGAACATGAAAAGTATGAGCATGTACAGCACTCAATACTTAGTTGGGGCTCCTTTTGCCTGAATTACTGCAGCGATGCGGCGTGGCATGGAGTCGATCAGTCTGTGGCACTGCTCAGGTGTTATGAGAGCCCAGGTTGCTCTGATAGTGGCCTTCAGCTCTTCTGCATTGTTGGGTCTGGCATATCGCATCTTCCTCTTCACAATACCCATAGATTTTCTATAGGGTTAAGGTCAGGCCAGTTTGCTGGCCAATTAAGAACAGGGATACCATGGTCCTTAAACCAGGTACTGGTAGCTTTGGCACTGTGTGCAGGTGCCAAGTCCTGTTGGAAAATGAAATCTGCATCTCCATAAAGTTGGTCAGCAGCAAGAAGCATGAAGTGCTCTAAAACTTCCTGGTAGACGGCTGCGTTGACCTTGGACCTCAGAAAACACAGTGGACCAACACCAGCAGATGACATAGCACCCCAAACCATCACTGACTGTGGAAACTTTACACTGGACATCAAGCAACGTGGATTCTGTGCCTCTCCTCTCTTCCTCCAGACTCTGGGACCTTGATTTCCAAAGGAAATGCAAAATTTACTTTCATCAGAGAACATAACTTTGGACCACTCAGCAGCAGTCCAGTCCTTTTTGTCTTTAGCCCAGGCGAGACGCTTCTGATGCTGTGTCTTGTTCAAGAGCGGCTTGACACAAGGAATGCGACGGCTGAAACCCATGTCTTGCATACGTCTGTGCGTGGTGGTTCTTGAAGCACTGACTCCAGCTGCAGTCCACTCTTGGTGAATCTCCCCCACATTTTTGAATGGGTTTTGTTTCACAATCCTCTCCAGGGTGCGGTTATCCCTATTGCTTGTACACTTTTTTCTACCACATCTTTTCCTTCCCTTCGCCTCTCTATTAATGTGCTTGGACACAGAGCTCTGTGAACAGCCTGCCTCTTTAGCAATGACCTTTTGTGTCTTGCCCTCCTTGTGCAAGGTGTCAATGGTTGTCTTTTCACACAAATGTATTTTATGAACAAACAGGTCTTGTTTTTGGCAGTTCGTGCCAGATAAAGTATCAGCGTGGCATATTTATCTGTCGAGATATACTGGCAGCAGTTTCATTTGTTTCTGTACAACCTTAATCATTCAGTCATATCAGGATGCTGGTACATTGAATCAGATATCGACAATCAGTAGAAGCGGTCACGTTGTGGTCAAAAAGCAAAATAAACAGATGGCGTGTCAGAGTGGGGGAAAAAAAACTAATGCAGCGTTATTTTTGGTCTTCCTTGTTTTCATTCCAGGAGAAGCAGGAACGAGCCATTGGCTTGCTGGTGTCTCTAGGGCCCCAACCAGGGTCTGAAGTCACTCCGTGGTACATGAAAACCGGCAAAGAAAAAGAAGAGCTGAAAGAAAAAGAAGAGAGGAAAGAAAAAGAAAAGAGGAAGGGACTAAGTGAAGAGGAGAGAGAGAAGAAAGATCGCAGATTGAAAGATAGTTTAGATCCACTGAAAGATATGAAGAAAGCACTAGCTGTCAAAGAGAGAAAATACCACAAAAGCAAGAAATGGGAAAAAAGAGACAAAGGGGAAAAGAGGAGCAGTGGAGAGAGGTAAGACAGTGAATTTATCTAGTTACTTATAATATTATAATATCTACCACTAGATTGGGTACAGCAAAGTAATTCAGAATATTTAGACGATGTTGTATGTTGTTTTTTGATTTTGCTGCTTAGTTCTCCAGTTAAAAAGAATAATTTAACGTTTCTTTTGGAGCGTTAGATGAGGAGATCGATATCACTCTCACGTCTGTATCTTCAGTGAAGCCAGCAGGGGGTTAGTTTAATGTATAGAAAACGGTGTGTGAAAACAACAATTTGTAGTTTTACAGTGAAACATGTACCTGTTTATTTGTTGGCGGGGATCAGTAACTTTTTGGAGTGTCCTCTGGTTGCCTGGCCACTGCTCACTGTTAAGACATTTTTATTTTTTTATTTTACCGGGAAGTCCCAGTGAGGAAAAAAATGAAGTCCTGGCCGAGGTAGCAGCCATACAGAAACACAACATATAAAAGCTTTAGAGGTGCTGGTTTTGTTACCTTTGGACAGAGCCAAGCTAACAATTCAATTCAAATTAGCTTTATTGGCATGAATGTGTAACAACAATATTGCCAAAGCATCATACATACTACATAAGAACAATCAACCCCATACATTTCATTGTATGGGGTTGATTATTGAGGTTGATCATCCATACATACATTGATAACTGTTTCCCCTCTGTTTCCAGTGTCTATGCTAAGCTAATCTAGCTAGCTGCTGGCTGTAGCTTCCTGTTCACATGAGAGTATACAATCTTTCATCTAACTCTCAAGCAGGAAAGCGAATAGACATATTTCCCAAATGTACAACTATTTCTTTGAGATTTTGTATCACTGTCAATAGTAGACAGTTCTTGTATAGTCGCATGTCAATTTCCTATTAATTAAAGTTTTCAAGGTGTGAATGTCATGATGTATAAAATGTGAATATGTTTTACATATCGTTAGAGGGATATAAAATAAAAAAATCTCTCTCTCTTCCTGTCTTTTCCAGCTCCATAGAAAGGTTACGTGCTGAGCGTTTACAGAGGGAGGCTGAGGAAAGGAGGAGAACCCAGGCCCTGCTCGACCAGCGGAACGGCAAAGGGAAGGAGCCAGGGAAGGAGATAACCGAGAGGGAGAGGCCGTACAACAGCGCATA